TTGAAAGAAAGCTTGCTCAGAACCAGAGAATTTTTCACAAATCTGTTATGGCCATTTGGTTTCTTTAACAAAGAAAACCAGAAATAAAACTTGCATGGAAACTTCCTTATATAGTTACATGGTGAAGATTCAAGGCCCTTAGGACTGGGAGTGGTCAAATAGGGAACAAAAATCTTGCAAAATCTCCACAGCTTCAAGACTACACTTAGTATCTTGTGTATAATATATAGATTCAAGTTTGTTTATACCTTGGTTCCTGGTATGAAGATGAGGCTGGATAGGCCCTCTAAAGTTGTACATAAAATGTATAAGAAAAAATCTAAAGAAAAAAAATCTTCCCAAGTACACCAAGAGAAAGAATTGTAAAATGTATATGCAAGCCTATTTATATAGCTTAGAATCTTTAGAGTGATAAATAGGAAATACATTCTTTTTATACTCTTCTTTTCAAGAGGTAAAATGTTACATACAAATTGTCCATTATTTGCAATTTATTCATGCGGTAGAAGATCAAGTTTATTTACGTCATGGCCACCACAACAGGAATGGGGTCCATTATTTTCTCCCAAGATCATGAGGGGAAAAAAACTTCTCTAACAAGATATTGTCAAATTCAAATGCAGTCAGTACTGTCTACTTCATAATCAATTCAGAGAGAGGGAGGTTGTGAAAATCTGTATATTTTCTTATAAAGGATTTCTTTTGAAATCTTCTCAAAAAAGTATATGACTTCAAATTGTACAAATAATTACAGAAATTTCCTTATGTAATGTAAATTCGACATTGTATAAATCATTGCCATTTGGAGCAAAAAAAAAAAAGATATTGGTTAGAAATATACAGATTTGTTAAAAAGTACATTAAAAAGAACACATATGGTGGCTCAGAAACTGGTGACTTTGAAGGCCTATGGGCTTCTTGTTTCAATGTCAAAATCTAATTGTTGGTTGTTTCTATTTCGTTTAAACTCTGTGTAGCTTACCTTATTTCATAGTTATATCAGATCCTATTCAATACTGGTAGTCAACTGACAATTTTGCTCTTTTTTATAGAACACAAAATGAATTATCTGAGCTGTCTTGGTAGGAGGCTATGCAACACATCAAAATCAATTCGTTTTATGGATCAATAGAATTTTGTAGGAAGAGGCGTTGAGACATTTATTGCTGGAGGATATGTACAACTCTTCTGACCTTGTGTGAAGGATCTGTGACCTTCTGTGTGAAGGATCTGTGACCTTTTGTGTGAAGGATCTGAGACCCTGTGTGAAGGATCTGTGACCTTTTGTGAAGGATCTGTGACCTTATGTAAAGGATCTGTGACCTTATGTGAAGGATCTGTGACCTTTTGTGTGAAGGATCTGTGACCCTGTGTTAAGGATCGTGAAACTCGTAAGGATCTGGGACCTTTTGTGTGAAGGATCTGGGATCTTGTGTGAAGGAATTATGACCTTGAATTAAGGATTTGTGAACTTGTATAAAGGATCCGTGACCTTGTGTGAAGGATCTGTAACCTTGTTGTGTTAAGGATCTTTGACCTTGTTTTAAGGACATACGCAACATAGTTTGAACTTTATTGTCTTTTCCCTGGAGTTGAAGAGTTCTAATTCTTGAAGGAATTGTGTGCTACATTTTTATGTCTATATATGCTTTTGTCTATAAATACTTCATCTAAAACAAGTTTTGATTAAAAAAAACATGTACAATATATGTTTATTTAATTTTGGTGTATTTTTCTTTGAATTATACAAGAATTTTCATCAAATGATATCTTTTCAAAACCCCTGGTAATGCATGCTGATTTTTTGTCAACGAACTTCTGATGGCACAAAAATCTTGAATTAAGAATATCTTGAAAAATTATCAGTAGGTAAGGTACGTTGCATATGTCCTTAAGGATCAAACACAATTATAATGTTACCTTAAATGTATATTGTGTTGTCTATTTGTTTCAATAACAATTATCTTTCATACATGTACTTGCAATAAATTATGTTTGCTTCTTATAGTTTTTCTGAGATATGTATAGTTGATTTCAAATATTCTTTTCAGTTTTCAGTATGATATCCAGTAAAAATAATAACGTGTAAATCTTCACAATTTGACATACACAAAAAGAATGTAAATCTGTATACTTTTTATTGCAGTCATCTTTAAGAGTATTGCAAAGAAATGACAGGGGAGCTTTATATAATGCTTCACAATGTGAATCCTGTAAACAATACCATATTGAGTAAATCAGCACGATGTGATATGAAATAAACAAACATAAATTTGAGTACTTGTTTTATTGCATCCATCTTTGAGAATATTAGGGTGAAATGATAATGGAAGCTTATACTTATCAAATCTGATATATATTTCATAATTCTGTGTAATTCTGTGAATCAAGTTAACATTAATGGAACTGAGTCAGTTCTCTCTGGATTGCTGAGTCATTTGAAAGTGTACTAAAAATACAATGACCTTGAACTTTATACTTATCGAATCTGACACCTATATTATCGTAAATCTTCACTGTGTGTTGTCAAATAAACAATAACGTATAAATCTGCATGAGTTTTGTTTTTTATTATTTTCCCCCCAGCCATAATAGTGCAATGACATTGGAACTTGACTTAATCTGGTCTGGTTACAATTAAACAGAGAAAAGACTTTAGTCAAAATTCGAAATAAGAATTAACTTATCAAAAAATTTTAAAAATATCAAAATACTTAATGTCATTGTGTTTGTACTTAAGGACATACGCAACGTAGTTTGAACTTTGTCTTTTTCCCTGGATTTGAAGAGTTCCGATACTTGAAGGACCCGTGTGCTACTCTTAATGTCTATATATGCTGTTGTACACTTCTAAAACAAGTTTGGATAAACAAAACATCTAGAAAATATGCTTAGCAATTTTTGTATACTTTTCTTTGAATTATACAAGAATTTTCATCAATTAATATCTTTTCAAAACCCCTGGTAATGCATGCTGATTTTTTGTCTACAAACATCTGATGGCATTATAATCTTAAATTACAATAAGATAATCTTGAAAATTATCAGTAGGTAAGGTACGTTGCGTATGTCCTTAAACTAATATAAACTTAAACATTTTAAAACCTATTTATTACATAAAGAACAGGTCAATTAGAATTAAAAGTGTTGACTCGCACTGGTTCTCATTTTGTGGTCTTTTGGCTCGGTGTTATCCATTACTCTGTTTATTATGCAGCTTTGTGTCTGTTACACCCTGCAGTTTTGGTTTTTCCACTATTTTGCCCCCCCCCCTCCCCTCCCCAAGGTTGTCAGCTCAATATCTTGAGAACCCATTTCTCGACAGACATAATTGGTACACTTATGCCCCCTGAAGAGTAGATGACCTCCTATTGATTTTGAGGTCACAATGTCAAGGGTCAAAATACGCTTGATATCGGAAGATACTGTCTTTTCAATATCTGACAGACATCAAACCTTGATATTGGTTCCGCTGGTAAATTCTTAAATACTCAATAAATTCATTATTGTAGGACCTGTTTCATACCCACTCGCTGATATCCACCATATTTCTTTCCGAAAACTATTCTTTCAGTTTCACAGCACTTTGATACTCTTGGTCCGTGCTGCATGATCAGCTTGCTCCAGCTATTTTCAGTCAGGGAAGATTATCAAAATTGAAAACAGCATTGGTATTTGTTCTACATGAACTGGACAAAGTGTATCAAGCAACTAAAAAAATAATTCGAAACAACTGATTACTATACATGACATATCTCTAGATCTATGTATTCTGCAGTCTGTTTGTTGTATAACCTACATGAAATATATGGAGATAACGAACAGTATTCAAGCTCAAAAGTCCATTAAACAATACAAAATAGGAGCAGAGCAAACACGGACCTCCAAACATCAGAGATGGGATCAGGTGCCATGGAGGAGTGAGCATACATGTAACTCAATTATATATAATTTTTAATTGGAATTTTTTGTAATTTTAAACTAAATTGAGTACAGTCAAACCTGTTTTAAGAGGCCACCTTAGGAAAGTTTGGAAAGTGGCCATTTAAGACAGTTTTTCCTTGAAAAACCCAGTCAATCAATAAAACGAACAACGTTTAACATTATAGTTAAATTAATAATCAGAGAATAAAATGGATCAAATTCCTTGCTTTTAATGTTTATACATACTAATTAATGTACACACTTAATAGAAAAATTTAAGTCGTTATAATGAGATACATGTACTAAGGATATTTTAATGTAACAACGATATACAGTAATGAGCCGTATTTACAACATACACTAAGTCGTATAAGTCGTACGTATGACATAAGAAGTTGTTATAATGACCCCCCCCCCCCCCCCCGCAACACACACATACACACAATAGATTTTTTAAAAAAAATTTTAATTTTTCCTTTAATCTGTAATATCTAAAATATTATACATATATCTACCCTTATTTTCCTGGTTATAGAATTTCTGAGCTTGATTTTTTGATTGGATATTGACACCACCACCAACCCACCCAAAAAAATTCCCTTGAGTTTATTTTTAATACGAGTTCTTTTCAAACTGTTCTTTGTTATTGCATAGGATGTATGAAGTATAGAAATTCTTTGATTAGTCCTCGTTGCTATAAATGTGTCATTTTTCAGCATAAGAGAAATCTGTTTTACATTATAAAGTGTTACTAGTACTCATGAGAAATTGTACCAAAACTTAATTCTGTGTTTTAATGTAATAACATTTTTTAAAAACCTGGGATAAAGAATGTGTACAAATGTCATTCTTACAGTTCAGTCATGCTATCTCTTGTTTCAGATTCGGGCTTCATTGTTATATACAGATGGAAATATTGAATCAGCCAAGGTTTGATGAAAGTCTACTATCCAATAAAAAAACCATATTAAAAAGATGCAATTTTATTTGCAAAAATAACAATTACCAACACAATTGATTTTTAAACATGCAGAAATTTTTAAATTCAAGAAATAAAAAAAAAAACATTTGGCACATGATCATAAAAAAGGAATTTAAAAGCACTGAATTACAATACACATACTATAATGGCCTATGTGCTCTTAAATAAAATGTTGATCCCATATAGAGGTCATATGCCTGAAATCAATTGGGATCAAAAAATATAAAATAAATTGAAAGTCCTTTCAAAATAATTATCACAGAAGTTTTTAATGAAAGACTGCGGTTGTAATTTCACTAAGAAAATGTTTCATCACTAAATGTCCACACTCTCCACATTCAGAAGTCTCTATTGTCCAGTTAGAAGAAAGGCACAGACGCCACAAAGCAGTGAGAGTCAGAAGTGACAAGAATCTCTGGTCCATAGAAATTGTCTGCTTCCAACAGAGTAAAACTGTCAGGTAACAAGTCATCTAACAACAGGGTTGTGTTAACCACTGGTCTGTAGTTCTCTGGGAGTGTCTGTTAAACATATTGTATGTATAATTATTCAGTTTTCTTATCCCAGATGAAAATTGTAATAATTAATAAAAACAACAAAAGCAAAATGTATGCAATACATTTTGGGACAGTTTTGCACATAATGAATTTAAGCAGTATCAGGCCAATTCTGTCATAAACAATCTTATCTCAACAAAATGTGAGCAAAATTAAAGTACCTTTCTAATAGACAATGGCTCTTGTTTGGACCCAGATTTCAACTGGCTACATTTCTCAATGACCTTCTGGACAGTACTACCAGACAAGGACTTATGCTGAAATTATTTAACATATTTTACTTTTTTTTCAAGATCTTGGAAATATTGTATGTTCTTTCACACATTAAATTATATTTTTTCTACGTTTTTTTTTTTTACCTTTTGTTCCTGGGCAGACTGCTTTGATGGCACAGGAGTTCTTGATACAACACTTTGTTGTCCCTTTTGTTTAAGACTTGAGTTCACAGTGTCAATTACTTTTTTGTCAGCAGTAGTAGCTTGATTAGGAGTAAAATCAGTTCTGTCCTCATCATTTCTACCAGCAGTGGTCATTTGTTTTGGAGTGGAATCAACACTTTCCTTTTTATCATCAGTAGATTCCCCATGACCCTGAAACCATCCATCACAAAAATTTAAACAGGTTTCAAAACTCATTTATTCTTCTTGACTTCTATTAAATATATAGATTGATATCAGATATTTATTACACCTACCTGTTTTTGTCTGTTCAGGATCCTCATAATTCTGGCAACATATGGAGGATATTCCACTGGATCTGTTTGAACTTTGGGTGGAACAACAATGCGTTTGACTCCCTTCTATAAAATAAAGCGCAACTCACAAATCCACGCAATTAATCTTGTAAGAATCAGGATTTATTTTTAATGTTCTTTTGAATTACCTTGCCACCTTTCTGAGTTACAGAATTTGGGGCAGAATTCTGACTCTGAGTCTGATGCAGTGTTGCTTCCATTTGTCCCCCAGTGGTCTGCTGCATGGGTCTCACTTCCATTTTAGCCAGATTTCTACTACCTTTTGCCATTGAACTGTTGGAAGTTTGTTTTCCCATTTCTGCATTTGCATGTTGTCTTTGAGAGACATTTGTAGGAGTCTTTTTCTTTGACTTTTTTGGCCTAGTTTTTGTTTGTGCCTCCATTGGTGCCACAAATGTGGGTACACTCTGTGGGCTCACACTCCATGATTCCTGATATAAAAAATATTTCATATTTCTTTTGTTGACAATGTTATTGACTTTCAGCTCAACAAATACATTAATTAAGACATTAACAAAATAGAAAATAGAAAAACTTACAAGCTGTACAGCAGAACATCTCTGGAGATAGTCAGCTGATAGTCCGGTTGTTGCTACATTACAAGTGGGTGTCATTACAGGTGAGTAATTACCATCCCCATAGATTGTTTGGGTTGGTAGATGAATAGTCTTGTCATACACTCCAGCAACTGATGGAATACTGATGCTGTTGGTAGGAACTTGTAGCCCTGTTCCCATAACCCATTCATTTGACACAAATGTTGGGATAAAGCCTTGAACCTCAACATTCGTAGGTAATATCTGTTTTTAAAAAAGCAACAAAGTTAAGGGTTATTAAATAATTTTACCATTAGTGTGATAATTTTCAAATATGATGGTGTTTCTTTTAATGTTGAAGAAAATATTGTCAGTATTTGTGTAAAAATATATCAAGCTGATTCATAAAATTAATGTTCTCTGCAAGAGGACTGAAGACCTAAAATACTGTAAAAGTGGTTATTTAGGCGTGGGGGAAATTTACACTACTTACGCGGTAAGCTTAGAACCGCGTAAAATACCCCCCTGCGAATGGTCACAAAATTTCAAAGTTTTGGAATCATTCTGGAAATATTACTAATACTGTTAGACCTGTCGAACCAGTCGTACATGTATATTAATAGTGGTATTGAACGCACATGAGTAGATAATTACATCACAAACAGTGATGAAATCGTAATTTTTTTATCTAAATTGTACATGTGCAATGAAAAGGGCATCATCGTGTTAAATATTTTAAAGCAAAGTCACGCAACAAAGAGCTTCAAAACATCGATACTCATTTTCATTTCCTTTGTATGTATGTGTACGTCCCTCTTAATTTCAAATAATTAGTCCTAAAATGTTACACAAACTCAGAGTCACTACAAACATTCCTATTGAATTATATGTCAACACTCGCTACTAAGATACAGGTAAGAATAGATCCCACTTTGAAGTTTGAGCTTGCATAAATAATTACAATACAGCGTACACCAGTTGTTCACACTTCACCGCTTTTGACTGCAGATCGCCCATTATATTTAGCAATCCAACAGTATAAATTCTTTTTGTTTAGTTTGTTTCTTATTATTTCTAATTCATTTTTTCTTATTCATGCGTATAAATTTTTTGACCTTTTCAAAGGGGAACAACTCGATGTTAGTTACGATGGCTGCGTAAATTTTTCTTGGCAACTCGTGCAACAGCGTATATTACACCCACGCATAATGTTTGACAGTCACAAACGCGTACTTAACATCCAGTGTAAATAACTACTTTTACAGCATCAGATCAAGAAGGAAAAGAAGAATTGACCTTGACCTTTCATTTTTTTGTCCTCAAATCAATAGGGGTCCTTAGAAAATGATAGAAAATCATCACCTTAGGTTTCATTGCAAAAGCTTAAACAAATCTAAAGCTATCATCTTGAAACTACTTTATACTTTGTGACTTGATCTTTGACCTCAAAACAAATATGGGTCCTCTTTAAGTCAAAACATGAATTTCTGACCTTGACCTTTGGCCATTTGACCCCAAAATCAATAGAGAACTTGTTTAAGTTGTAGAAAGTTTTGATATAAATTTTCGTCTCCACAGATTTGAAGTTAATATTTTCTCGAATTTTCTGTATATTATATGACTTATATAAGTCATGATGTTATACAGAAAATTTGAGAAAATACAAACTTCTGTGTCTAGGCCCCTTTAACTTATCATTTGAATATCATTTATGCAGTGTATGACTTTTGACCTCAAAATTAATAGGGTCTTCCTTGAATCTTGTAAATATGTGTTTTTTAAAAATTAAATATGTTTACTTACAAGTTCATTTGCAGAGATAGGCTGTTGTAGCTTTGCCTGTGTCAAAGTCGGGTTTAGAACTTGGACAGCAAAAGCATTCTGAGCTGAGGGATGAATATTTCCTTGGCTGTTTAAGATCAGCTGTTGTACAGTAGACTGATCATTGTATTCTGTTTGCATTTGCAGTATGGTATCCTGACCCTGCTGCCGGATGGATGCCCATGGTAGGGTCTGTCCTGACCTTAGTTCATTTAAGGTCACTTGAGGCTGTACATGTGTGGGATCAGTCTATAGAAAAACAAAATCACATTTGTATTAGAAAACTAGAGGAACTGTGGGCAACCTCACAAATTTACACCTCCTGGTACATTTATTTTAAAGTGCCTGAGCACATATTTCTAAAAGTGACCTTGAACTTGCCAAATGACCTAGTTCAAGAAATCCTCCGGCCATGAGTAATCTTTTCTTGAAGTATGAACTCTTGTAAAGTTTCAGCATTAGAAAGTTATGGGTGAGATACAAATTTTAATTTTTTTCTGACCGTGTCCTTGAATTTACCTAAATGACCTAAAGTCAAGATCATAAGCAATCTTTCTGTAAATATCAAATTTTCATTTGTCTCCATTAAGAGAGTTAAGGACGTTTTTTTCTGCTAGTGACCTTGAACTTGGCAAAACAAGCTTGGGTCTTGGTCATTACAAATGCTTGGGACATAGGCAATCTTTGAGTTAAAACAGCTTTCAATTTCAAGATATCAGAATGGCAGGAATTATATAATTTTTCTAAAAGACCTTGAACTTGACCAAATGACCTTGGGTCAAACACATGACACAACCCTAGGTTATAAGCTAACTACTGGTATATGTGAGGCATGAAATTCCAATATCTCTTCACTAGAAAGTTATGGAAAGAATTTTACACTTTTTTCTGCCAGTGACCTTAAACTTTAATGATTGACCTTGAATAAGTCAAGGCATATTGGCAGATTATATGCAATCTTTGTTTTATGTATGAACTTCCAATTTTTCTTTGTTACAAAGTTATGGTCCAGACATGATTGCAAAGACAAATGGACAGATGGACAATGGTGATTCCTATATACCCCCTCCAACTTCATTTATTTGGGATATAATAAACTGATAAACCACATGGAGAGACTTAAAGATAATTATGCATTAGTCTAAGCTTTTTCTACATACCTGTTGTTGTATCCTTGTCCTTGGTTGAGAAGGATACACAGTACACCTGGTGACATTAGGGTTGACTTCCTCAGTGCTGGAGACTGGGCGACCATTAGGAAGAACTGTTGAGGTTATGAATTTTTGAATTTGTTCATTGCTCAACAGAGGTTTTGTCACCTGAAAACAATGCAGATATAAGTGTATACATGAATATATTTAACATTTGTCTAAATTACTGGATTCTAATATTGATAAGGGCTAAGACTGATTTATATGTGTAATTTTTGGTAGCAAACAGGGCTTACTACATCCCTTTGTAGTGACCTTTTTTTAAAAAAAAAAAAAAAAAGCATTCAAAAGGTCATTTAGTATTTGTAAATTTTATATAGAAATTAAGTACACTATTTGATGTAACTTACCCCATTTGGCACCACTCTGCCAGCTGTACGAGTGGGTCCTGTGTTTTGAAATACTGCTTGATTGGCAGCTTGAATATAACACTTTCTTGGTGGCTCAACCTGTTACATAAAAAAATATTATATACATAACAAATGTATGAGGGTCCATTTCTTGCGAATTCAGTCAAAATCAAATGCAAACTTTCAACAAAAGGTGGACATACAATATTAAGTTTAAATTTATAAGATACTGGAAAAGAAATGGATCGGATTGAAAGACAATCAGAAGAAAGATAGAGAAATATTCCAGAGAAGAAAGAGATGAAAGGAAAGTTATATTTTTTAATTAACTTACTTCTCTACACCAATTATATATAACATATATAACAAAACTGAGACCTCCTCAATTCCCCCGAAAGCGGTGGGTGTGGTCAAGATGTCCACTCCCAGCCTCTTGTAAATACTTGAGGCAACTTCCGGGTTGGGATACTGAACATCCATTCTCTTCTGAAATGAAGAAGAAATAAAAATTGAAAAATTCTGCTACCTCATGTCTAAAATTTAGATGCATAACATGTATATGTGGACCAAAAATGTTTTATTCTTATCATTGATTTACTATTTTACAGCAATTTACAATAATTCTAAAGAAAAAAATATTTCTGTATCATCAAAGGATGACATATATAAATAATAAATAATATAAAATTAAATTTTTTTGATATTCAAAGATGTAAATTAAACCAGGGCTATTGATGGTCTATACTATTAGGGCCACTGAAGGGCCCAATTTCCAAGTTTTAAAAAAAGGTACATTTTCTCCATATACAGTGTAGTCATCACCTCCCAATATTATTTGGATATTGAATATATAATAACTTGACCTTGACCTATGTCTCTGCAAACACCAGAATTCAAAAGAAAAAAAGTATGAGGAGTTTTAAAATACAATAATTTTTTCAAAATGCCCAAAAAGGCAGGGATAGACATTAACTTTCAGATTCACTTGCCCTTCGGGCAAGTGATCTGAAACTTTGACTTGTCCAAATGCAAAACTTGGTTGCCCAAAATTAGGAAAGAATTTAAGAAGAAAATTATTAATTACTGTAGTAAAGTTATGATAAGGAAAAAAGTGACCAAATACACTACTGTCAATTTGGAAAGTTGAGCTACTTGAAAAAATTTTGATGCTGCATTTGTACATAAATGTATACCACTGTACTTGTAAATTTGACCTGTTGATACACACTGCCATGCAGCAATAACCCTCCGTTTCCATTTAATAAAATTCATATTTTTAAAAATCATTTTCGGTGGGATCCTTCTATGAATCGTGATTTTCATAAATAACTGTGAAGCAACGCTAAAAGAAGACATTTGATACGAAACATACATCTTCTTGATCAGGATACATCGTATTCCACTGTACTTATATTCTGTGCGTGAATAAATAATATAATTTCCTAAAAGAAGTTAACAAAATTTTGTTAGACGTAGAACATATTTACTATGAAAGAAAATAACGGACCCGATTATTAAATGAAATGTATAATCCAGAAACGCTAGCAAGGTATTCCGAATGCAAAAACATTTTCAGTCAGGTAAGTGGCGGAAATCAAGTGTTCAATTTATTGTTTTATTTATAAATTAATGTAAACTAAATAAATATATACATTTGTATGAGTAAAAATCACTTGCCCGATCGGACAAGTACGTCGACAATTTCAATTGCCCGAACTGAGAATTTACTTGTCCCGGGCAATCGGACAACCGTTAATGTCGATCCCTGAAAGGTCGCTAATTTTCCTAATTTTTACTGCCCTTACCCCAGAACCAAAAAGTGAATTGTGAAAGCCGGCCTGTTTACACAAGTTTTGAACCCTATTGAGCACTGTACTGTATGGTTAAAGGGAAACAACTCGAATTACTCACTGTTCAAAACCCCCTTTCCTGTGTTGAATGTTGATCATATCATTAAATCACGAAAATCATTCTTTCAGGTGGATTTGTTGTATGTTATCTTTTTTTAAAGTAGACATATTTAACTTTATTTTGTTAAATCTACTTTAGATTAAGAATTACAAATATTTTGGCCTGAAAACGTTGATTGTCCTGGTATTCCTCGGATTCTTGTTTTTGAATGTTAACTTCGCAAAATTAAAATAAAAGTATTAGCTCCATAGACAGACCCTACATAGCTATATAAAATTAAAAAGCTCTCTGTCGAACGTTCGAGGTTTTAAATATCTCTCCCTAGCAACATATTTAACTAATCTTTTCCCCACAAAAGAAGAAATATATGACCATTACCCTTTTATAGCTCTGACTGTTCATTTCTGTGACTGTATCGATTGTATGCTATGAAATATTTCAGAAAATCTTCGCTCAGCGAAAATCTCGTCTTATCTCAACAACTGATGCTGAAACAATGAGCTGAATCCAAAACACATCAAACAGCCTAGCAATCATGACGTCATCACCATGACGACAACCAATGAAAATATGAGTCTAATTTTAGCAATCGGAATTTCCTGGGAAGTAATTCCTTTCCAAAAGGATCAAAAAAAGTTGATTCTTAGATATATGTAGTAAATACCTGTTGGCCTACTTGCACATCTACAAGCCTGTTATAGATCTAAAGCTGTATCCATTTCACATCATATCGTGGATAAAGGCTTAATCTTTGTCAACAAGAAGAAAGGAACCCATATGATGTTCACTCCACTTTCAATTTGGTCCTGGCTTTATGTAACATTCCGCTTGTCGTCTGCATTTTTGCTCTCTACTAGCGAAAATTACTGCTAACTACATTGTATTTTGAAATTGTCTAAAAATAATATATACATGCATTTATAAATAAATAAAAATATTTATAGTGTTTCATATGTACTTGAGACAGATCGAGTACCAATCTTTATATGCAACTGTAATTTAATTGTAATATATTTAGTATAACACACCTAAACAACATAAATTACTTATCTGTCTGACACTTTTTGAACTTCAGATTCTTTTGTATTGGAATTTGTGTTTTCATTCAAATTGAACTGCAGTTTATCAAATATTGTACAAGAGTAAAGTAGATCAGGCCATCTTTAAGGACATACGCAACGTAGTTTGAACTTTATTGTCTTTTTCCCTGGAGTTGAAGAGTTCCAATACTTAAAGGCACTGTGTGCTACATTTTAGTGTTTATATATGCTGTTGTACACTTCTTCTAAAAAAAAGTTTGGATAAACAAAACATCTAGAATATATGTTTAGTAATTTTTGTATATTTTTCTTTGAATTATACAAAAATTTTCATCAATTGATATTTTTTTTCAAAACCCCTGGTAATGCATGCTGATTTGTTGTCTATGAATATCTGATGGCTCTATGATCTTAAAATAAGAATATCTTCATGGCCGTAGGAACCGGGGGGGGGGGGCACGGGGGGGCCGTGCCCCCCCCAATAATTTTGCCGATATATAGATTACTATAGTAAACATAGATACTATAAGCATGTGCCCCCTCAATAAAACCGCCTGATGACCTTTTTTTTTTTTTTTTTTTTTTTTGCTTGTCAAGGAATATTTGGTAGTTGACGAACTTTTTTTTTTTTTTTGCTTGTCAGAAAATTTTTGGTAGTGCCCCCTCAACTGTCAACTGAAAAATGTTTGGCTGTGCCCCCCCAAACTGAAATTGCTTCCTACGGGCCTGATCTTGAAAAATTATCAGTAGGTAAGGTACATTGCGTATGTCCTTAAAAAATTGTTTGGTTGCCCTCTCCCGACCGACTGGCTAAAAATGACCAGACTCACAACTTTTTTTTAACCTCCAGGAAGCAATTTTTTTATGCATTCTGGAAAATAGATTTTGAAAATTCAGCACTTAAATCTAAATTTTCTGAGAACAAAATTTCTCACGTACTACCGACCCAATTTTTTCATCCTGAGTCGGAAGAGGGCAAACAAACATTATTTTAAAGTTGGTCTCAACAAAACGTTAATTAACAATGTAATACATGTTTGTTTGGTATTTCTTTTACCGTATCATATTTACATCCATTGAATGTTTTCTCCTTTCTTTCTTATAAAAGCAATAATTGTTGTCATCTGAGTTAATTATCTGCCAACTAAAACTACGTCAACCTTAAGACGGATGATATTAAACTTTAATACGATGGAGCCATTAAACACTAACATGAATACTATAACCATCGGAAATGGTGAAACAGTCTCTCTTAAATTATAAAAAAAAAATCTTTGGTGGTTTTATAATATGACAGATGCATTATTAATATTATTACTGGAGATAGGGATTAACATGTCAAATGTCTAGTCACTAGCATTATACGCGTGCAGAAAATACAACAATTATAGCACGAAAGCAATTAATAAAACTGTAGCTTAGATAAATGTATGGAATATGAAATATTCTAGACAAATATATAACTCTTTTCAAAGTTTTATTTCTGCGCATTTAGTGAAATTATACATAATTTTTTCCCCATCGGACGACAGAGTATTTGCCTGCCTTTTGCTCTTTCCCTGTATTGCAATACTGTGTCAATTTTCTGTATGACTCCCCTCATGTGTAGGGAAGATTTCCAAGAAAGTACGTAAAACATAAATAACGAGATATTGTTATACCTTTGAAAATTGTTTCCTTTATAAATCTATACTTAAAATCCTAACATTTCCAATGTCTCAGTGGTCTTAAAAAAATCGATGTTAGACAGCTGAGTGAGATTGGATCCTTTGATAAGATATTGGACTGCTATGACGTTTTTTTTTACGTCACACTGGATCTTATTTGCATTCGTTGGTGTTCGACACGAGTAAAATCCGCAGTGCGGGTAAACGAACCATGTGCGAATGAGGTATGGAATTTAATGGATAAATCTACATGTAACTTTAGTTAAAAATGTGTATTCCATCGAATATGCCAATCAGGCGCGTAGCCAGCATGGAAATGAAGTGTACGCAGAGAACGGCAGGGGATCGGGGGGAGGTGTTCGGTTCCAACTTTCCAAAAAGTTAGATTCGGAGGGTAGGGGGGGGGGGGCACGTCACCCACCTGATACTACGTGCCATCTGGTGACGAGGGCCCAGAACCTCCTGAGTTTTACTAAATATTTCATTCATTTCGTTGCAAAATAAAAATTAAGTCATTTAGCTCTTGTTCAGAAAAACAGTTATATTTATTGTTTTAACTCAAAGTTAATACTTCCATGGAAACTGATTAGTAGATTAGGCTCAACCGATATATTGGTATAATATATTTCTATATAACCCGAATACTAAATGTTAATCATTAACAAAAAATATCGTATTTTAAATCCTATACTATAGTATCAAGCATCCAACGACGTGTTTGAAATTCAATTTCTAAACGATCTTTAAAAAATCAATTTGTTAAAGACCAATTACAAATTAATAAATTATTTATTTTGATTTGGCAATGATTTATTTAAGGATTTAAAATCTTATTATTTAGTCGTGATAATATAATATAAAATTCAAATAGAAACAGTATGTCACAAATTAATTTGAAATACGAATATTTGTTGGATGATACTGAGATCTTTTCTTCAAATCCTCTCTCTCTCCTATTTTTTTTTTTTTTTTGAAAATGCTGTGTACGCACTTGCGTATTTGCGTATAGGCAGCTACGCCCCTGCCAATAACTATACAGAAGTGGGTGCTACAGTTGGTTCGTGTAAAACATTGACACAAACGACTTTATTATTTAAAGGTGACCATTAGATCACGTCTACGAGACTATTGGTTTGTGTAACTAAATGTAAAAAAAAAAAAATCGAAATTCTTAATGCTTGGTTGGTAAATCAAATCCCAAGCAGTTCACATCCCCACAATTGCCACCTGGATTGTTTTTAAATCCATACTCATGCAGATGATATTGGTTTACACCTAGATGCAATATTTGTTCTACAACTGGTATCATAATGCCAGGTGACTGGATTTTTTTTATTGCCCTGCTTTCTGTTTCTAGAACTTGTTTGCTAGGAACAATACAGTTAATTTTTAAATCCTTTGTTTCATACTGGCCTATAGCTATGCACCATCTCCGAACACTAAAACTTCATGCTTCAATCCAGACATAAATCTTTAAGAGTATATCTTTGAACAGTTGCTTTTTTGTTCTCCAGAAGCGGTTCACATAGGAATCCTATCTCATTCCACAGGAATTATATTTGCAAATCATGTTGCATCGTTCATGAACAGTCTTTAGGAAATATTGTTGAGAGGAAGGAGTCTGTTTGCCATAATTCTGAGAAGATTTGTCCTTACCTCTACTTTTTCATTTTCAACAAATCAATGCATTCTGCCGCTTCTGGTAGATAACTAGACACAACTTCAATAAAATGTTCGCTTTGTCCGTTAACTGCCCACTCTATGATAACGTTTCATTTTTTAGCTCACCTGAGCCAAAGTCTCAAGTGAGCTTTTCTGATCAAAATTTGTCCTTTGTCTGTCGTCGTTGTTGTTGTAAACTTTTCACATTTTCATCTTCTTCTCAAGAACCACTGGGCCAATTTCAACCAAACTTGCCACAAAGTATCCTTGGGTAAAGGGGATTCAAATTTGTTCAAATGAAGGGCCACGTCTTCTTCCAAGGGGAGATAATTAAGAATTTGTGAAAAATTAATGGCATCATTAAAAAATCTTCTTCTCAAGAACCACTGTGCTTGAAAATATGAAACTTATGTGGAAGCATCCTCAGGTAGTGTAGATTCAAGTTTGTTCAAATCGTGACCCCCATGGGTCGGGTGGGGCCACAATGGGCGATCAAAGTTTTACATATGAATATATAGGAAAAATCTTTAAAAATCTTCTTCTCAAGAACAGCAAAGCCATGATTGGTCATATTTACATGGAAGCATTCTCAGATAGTGTAGATTCAAGTTTGTTCAAATCATGACCCCCGGGGGTCGGGTGGGGCCACAATGGGCGATCAAAGTTTTACATAGGAATATATAGGAAAAAAAATCTTTAAAAATCTTCTTCTCAAGAACAGCAAAGCCATGATTGGTCATATTTATATGGTAGCATCCTCTGGTAGTGTAGATTCAAGTTTGTTCAAATCATGACCCCCAGGGGTAGGGTGGGGCCACAATGGGCAATCAAATTTTTACATAGGAATATATAGGAAAAATCTTTAAAAATCTTCTTCTCAAGAACAGCAAAGCCATGACTGGTCATATTTAAATGGAAGCATCCTCAGATAATGTAGATTCAAATTTGTTCAATTCATGAACCCCCACCCCCACTCCCCCACTTTTATATTTAAACTTTTCAACATTTCAAGACTGAAATGATTTCTGCTTTATTCTAGCCATAGTGCTCAGGTGAGCGATGTGGCCCCTGGGCCTCTTGTTCTATTTTCTGGTATTTATTTGATCTGATGTTTTCGTTTGTTTCAATCTCTTCTTCAATCTCTTTTTTTTTCTTTAAGCATCATTAAACAGGTTACCAATGCAGCTACTGGTATGCTCTCCATATCTGAGATATGTAGAACATATAAGTAACTGCATTAGTAACACTTATTCTAACACACAACTCTGCTGTATAAAAACATCACAATCATTAATCAAGTATACTGCCATACCGGGTAATTTCATTGACCTATACACATGTATGCTACCTCATTGATGCATGTGAACCAATAGTAGCGAGTGCCTCAAACCAATATTTACTCGATTCGCACCTTACCAGGGGTGGGTTCAAGACCGTAGGGGCTACTTATAGCATCTACATACAGCTACGATCTTGTATAAATAATATGCTAGCCTAGCTGCAACGCTGGGTTAGCTATCGGAAACATTTTATGCTAGGTATCCAATCCAAGATGGCCTCCTATGGTAAAAAAAAAGGGGGAGGAATCACCTTAACGAATTAAATGTAAATTTAAATCTATACTGCAAATTTTCGTTTGAGTTGGAACAAACATGACAAAGTAACCTGAAAACTCAAACAAAATTTACAGTGTAGATTATTTTTAAAGTTAGTGTATCGAATCATGTTATTAAGGGACGTACACAGAGAGAATGACACTAAACTGATATTCTTACGTATCGAGATATCAAAAGTGACAAAATTTGAAGCAAATGTAATGAAATATTATGAGCGTAAACTATTTAAATGACTAGGTCGAACTTGAAAAGGTATGCTGAAATACCTGCATCGGACAATGTATATAAAAATAATGAACGTTTCCTTAACTATCAATCATCAGAAGACATTTGCTTGATATTTTATACCTTTGTGGTTATATGTTAATCATTTTGTGACTTATCTGTTTGGAGAATTAATTTAGATAATACAGTTTGGTAGATTGAATAAATTATCGAGAACTTTCAATTATTTCTTTTTGAAAATGATATTTAATGTCAAACTCGATACTTAATAAATACCTGTACACCTAGTCGTGTTTTTTTTTATATTGTCAATCTGCCTTTTACTCCACCCGTTATAAGTTTGCAAACAAGACTTGCTGCATTTCTTGATGGGATTAATTTAAATTCTGCAGAAATCTTCGAGTTTAAAACCATATCGTGGATTATTTTTAAATTCTGTGTAGAACTATATTAAGTTTCTATATTTGGGATAAAGTATCAAACCAGTTAGTGGAGTGCGTGTTTGTGCAAGGAGGGGGTGGGGGTAAAAATCAAAATAAATTTTTGGTGAAAAGTGACTGAATTCTTGAGTATTGTGGAACTCTTCATGTAATTGCTTATTCATTAATTCCACCTCATTCTTCTGTGTATGAGAAACAAATGACAATTTATTTCAATATAAAGATTATTTTTAATAGGGATGAAATTCATACTAAAAATGAAGTAATCTTACATGATCAAAAATCAACTACAAATAAACACGAATTTAATTAGAAGAAAAAGTAAATAAAATAATGGTCTAATTTGATTTCACTTATAATCTATATTTGTACTGTAAGTCAACTGAGTGCAATTCATCTCAAGTTCCCTTTCAGGTCTTAAAAATGATAAATGAATTCAATTATTTTTTCTTCTTAAATCTCTTTTTAAAGAATGGTAATTAAATGCAATGAATTGAAAAATGCTTTCAGTGTCAATTAATCCAACTTTCTCTCATAAATCTTAAGTCTCCATAATCAGTCTTGATGCTGAACTGGTATTTACAGACCATACAAATAAAGCTCAGGTAATGTTCCTTAAGGTTCAAAATGCAAACCCTTGTGTTTGGCACATTTTTGCAGTTGAAAGCTGTATTTTTAATTACAGCACTCTGTATAAAAAAGTTGCATATATTTACAAATCAAAAGCAAGTCCATGTAATAACATTATTCTGTAATTTCTTGATATGGTATGCTCTTGTGTTAATACAACTATACTATAATTATGCAAGATATCTTCTTCTTGGGTGAAATAAATTTTAGAGTGTAAAATCTGAAAAAAATAGCAAAATCATGTTTTATATTTAGTTAGTTATATTAAGAAATCAAAAATTATCATTACATTATTATTTAAAAAACAAAACATTCAACTTCACATAATATAAACCTCAAACCAAGATCAATTTGGTATAAAAGTCTAGTTGATTAAAGCCTTTAGACAAAAAAAAAAATCCTTAAAGAATAACACATTTTATAATGTTCAACACACCTTACATAAAATACTCTGCAGTCAACTAAAATATTAAGTTATCTCTAGCTAGCCATTTCAGAATCTCATAAGTTTCAGTAAAAAAAAGAATTGTGCTACTCATTTCAACCTTAATTTTTTTTCTTAGTATGTAACGATGAAGGAAACAAATTATCTTCACATGTGTAAAATATCCTGCCAAAACTGCTTTGGTTATGTCATGCAAGATTTTGTGACATTATTTGCATGAAGATGACACACATAGACAGTAAATTAATTTCAGAGAAGATATGACTTTGACAGAATGTATTTGTCTAGTATATGTTTTTATGTTTTTCTTATTTACATAAAGGTTTGTATAAAAATTTGAATATCAGAACCTCTCTCATTTACACCATAGGAAAACCACTTTTGTAATAAAAAGACAATTAAATTATCCACAAAATAATTGAGAATCTTGCTTATCTCTCATAATCATCTTTTAATATGTAAACTTTATTTTATATTAATAGTACATTCTAGAAAAAAATATCCCACATGATAATTTGTAAATCTACAGTTTAAATATTAAGGTCACAGTATATATTTGCAAATGTTCCAGCATTGCTTTTCACAAAGTCACTATTCTTAATTAAGTCAACAATATTTAAGTAAGCATACCAATTAAATTAATTCTGTACAAAATAAACCACACAAAACTTCATACATTAAATAAGTCACAAAAGTGACAAAAATTTGAGTGTACATGATTTGTCTTCAATTTGGGAATATTCTATCCCCAGGGGACAGTAAATCCCATTATTTCTAAATGATTAAACAAAACGTCACTCTTCTTATAGTATAAATGATAGATATTTATATTTCCTTTTTAGTAATAAATGGGAAAAACATTTGGAGACACACATACCTGGAAAACAGAGTACTTGTGAATATGATTATCTCGGTCAATTCAAATGTCCCAAGTTTAAGATCAAGCTACTGTGTCTCTCACCAGATCAAAATGAGCAAACATTTATCTACAGTGTACATGTATATAACAAGTTCACCAACAGATATTTTGAGATGTCCTGATGGACTCCCAGTAAAAATAGTTTATCTACTGGGTATCATTTCTGTAAAGACCTCATATTCTTGATGCAAGATTCCACTTTTGACAATGGTAACATCTTGGTAAGGTCTGGAATTCTGGTCCACAGGTAGCTCATTGATTTTTCGCACAGTATCCATTCCATCCAACACTTTTCCAAACACTACATGTAGACCATCTAAATGTGTAGCATTTGCATGGTTGGCCATCTGGATGAAGAATTGGGATTTATTGGTGTTTGGACCTGAAAAATATGGAAGAAATATATAAGTATCATTATACAATGTGATTTTACACAATTACTCTTTAATGTAAAACAAATAAAATTCAAAAAAGAAATATCTTTTGTAACATTAATAAGAATAGTTTCCTTTGTCAAGCCAATTTCATTTACTTTAATGTAGATTTATAATCCCTCTGTTCAACCAATTAAAGTGGTGCTTTAATGCTTATGATTTTCCAAAAGAAATGTATTTAATAACTAAAATGCAAACAATTATAGCATAGCTTGCAGGGCAAAATTGGTCAAAAAAGGCTTAACTTGACAGTTTTATAAATGAATACCGGTAATAAACATTTATCCCATTAAGAGTTATCTCTCTTATCAAAGTATCAATGAACCTTAATTAAGAAAACCTCAAAAAATGAAAAGACTTCTGTCAGATATTGATTTAATTAATGTTTAGAGCATTATTCAAAGAGGCTCTAGAGAGTGTGCATTATAAATCTAAAACAAAAGATTCACAGAATTAAGCTAACATTCAATTTAGTTCTTTATTTTTCCTTGTGCCATAAGGCACATTGCTTATATACCAACAAGACTAATGAGATTTCGCTAAATGACAAATTTTCTTCACAATGTACAATATTGAATTACAATTAACGTATTTCCTGTGCTGTCAAGTGGTTGACAGTATTAGTCATGATGATCCATTTGACAAGTAGGAGAAATCATGTATAACATAAGAATGCATGTTTTACCTGCATTAGCCATGCTAACAAAGCCAGGACCATAGTGTTTTATATCGAAGTTCTCATCCAAAAAGCTGTCTCCAACATAAATACTTTTTCCTCCTGTTCCGTCACCATTTTCAAAGTCTCCTCCTACAATTTTCATCAAATAATGTTATTTATATTTCATTGTAATAAATAAATCTTTATTCTACTATGGGATTATATTTCAAATCATTCTTGATAAGAAACAATTGAGATAACTGGTATTAATTTCAACTACTATCTGGAACTTAATTCTTGTGTGGGACTACTTAAACTTCCTTGTAAAAATTTTCCTGTAGTTTTTTTTTTTATTTGTTAACATTTTGAAAAAAGTATACTTGTACATGCAGGTATTTATAGTGTTTATACCTTGAATGATAAAGTCTTTGACAATCCTGTGGAATTTGCTGCCTTCATAACCAAATCCATATTCTCCAGTTGCTAATGCAGCAAAATTTCTGGTAGTTATTGGAACCGTGTCTCCAAATAGACCAATAACAATACGGCTTGTATTCTGAACAGGTGGAGTTCTAACCTGAGGTTGCTGAGGGTTCCATTGCTGATTGTTCATTGGACTGATGGAAATGTCAAAGTATACCATCTGAGTTATTGTATCGAAGCATCGAATCTTCCCCTGAAATAATTGTATAACAGTTGAGAGACTATTTTAGGGTAAATTTAATAAGTATGTCTTAAGTCTCCTGACATTTTACATAAAATTATCTGCTTTTGTCAAACTTTGAATGCCAAATGTGGCCATATTCAAAAAAATTGCTTTTTAAAATATCATTCTATTGAAATTTGAAAAAAAGAGGCCCATGTGCCACATCGCTCATCTGAGCACATTGCTTATGAAAAAAGTACAAATCAGTTCAGTATTATGAGGTTTACATAAGAGGTGGGGGGGGGGGGGGGGAGTTGGCAAACTTGAATTTTACACTACCTGAGGATGCTTTCATATCAATAGAACTAATGGTTTTGCTGCTCTTGAACAGAAGATCTTTATTAAAGATTTTTTTTTTTTAATTTAAAGATTTTTTCTTATATAATTCTCTGTAAAAATTTGATACCCCATTGTGGGACCTCCTATCCTTCAGGGGTCAAGATTTAAACAAACTTGAATTTATACTACATGAGGATGCTTCCATATCAATATGACTAAACATGGTTTTTCTGTTCTTGAGAAGAAGATTTTAAAAGTTTTTTTTTTTTTTTTAAACTAATATATTCCTATGTAAAACTTTTTCCTATATGGTGGCCCCACCTTATGCCCAGGGGTTATGATTTGAACAAACTTGAATCTACACTACCTGAGAATGCTTTCATATCAATATGACTAATCATGGCTTTGCTGTTCTTGAACAGAAGATTTTTAAAGTTTTTTTTCCTATTTATACTTTTTGTAAAACTTTAATCCCCATTGTGGCCCCAGCCTACCCCTGGGGTCATCATTTGAACAAACTTGAATCTAAACTATCTGAGAATGCTTCGATCCATATCAATATTACATGTACTAATCATGGCTTTTTTGTTCTTGAGAAGAAGATTTCTAAAGATTTTTTTCTATTTATTTTAATGTAAAATTTTGATCCCCCATTGTGGCCCCACCTTACCCCCAGTGGTAATCATTTGAAAAAACTTGAATCTACACTATGTAAAGAAGGTTTCCTTTAAGTTTGAAATTTTTTGGCCTAGTGGTTCTTGAGAAGAAGATTTTTAAAGATGCCACCAAATTTTCACTATTTCTGAATTATCTCCCTTTGAAAGAGAGCATGGCTCTACATCTGAATAAACTTGAATCCCCTTCACCTAAGGATGCTTTGTGGAAAGTTTGATTGAAATTGGCCCAGTGGTACTTGAAAAAGTTGAAAATGTAAAAAAAAGTTTATGACGACAAAAGTGGCAACAAATTTCGACCAATAAAGCTCACTTGAGCCTTAGGTCAGGTGAACTAAAATAAAATGGGGTGGGGCACTTTGAAGGGGGTGAGCAGGGATGAGAATCTAAAAAATCATGTGGATTAGGATTTTGATCAATTTAAACAAACAATGTTCAACATCATTTCTGTATTTTGGTCAATATTGGCTACTGAACTTTTGGTTTTAATATTGAGAATTTTAAGATATTTTAAGATATTCTCACTTATTTTCCCTTTTCTTTATTCTTCTTTGAAAAAAAAGGTCCCCAGTGAAATTTGAATCTCAACCCTTTATTAAAGATGCAAATCTTTGTGTCAATTTGTAGCAACTCCCATACACCTGTAACCATGCTTATTAATTAACATACTTGTGCATTTATGCACCCTACATGCACCCTAATTTAAGGGAAAAATATTTTTTACGGTGTTTCTCTCTCTTCTTGTTTTATTCATACACTCTGAATAATGATAGTATTAAGTGCTTGTATTGTATTATCAAACAAAAAGTGTCCTGACCAATAATCCTATTCTCCTTATATCAACCATATAACTGTTGAATTACCATAGTGTAAATAGTTTGCATTCTTAATCATCAAGATATTAATTTGTCAAAGTTCTTGTGATTTAAAAATCTTTCATGGACAAACTAATATAAAAATGTTCTGTAAATTTCTGAAAGTAAAACAAAAAGAAGGGGGAGGGGGGTTAATGATTTTGTGGATAGATAGCATATTATAGAGAACATGCCTACATGTAGTTTTATGTCAGGTGCGGATCCAGGAATTGAGATGGGGGGGTGCAAAAAGTAGGCAGGGGTCTGGGGGCTGCCTTGAGGCCACCATTGGGTTCAGGGCAAAGCCCTAGTTGGGGCCCAGGGGATGAAGCCCCCAAAAGCTCCTGGATTCTAGAGGTTTGGTAGGGTAAAAATGAGGTCTACTGAGTAGGCATTTTTACATTTTCTCGATGAAACTATGATTTACGCTAACTTTGATTTGACAATTTGGGGGGGGGGGGGGGGGGTTGCACCGGGTGCATCCGCCACTGTATGTGCTTGTGCTCCCTCAATAAGAATGCTTGAAGACCTTAGCTACATGTAGTTTATGCTTGTGTCCCCTCAATAAAAATGCCTGATGACTTTTTTTTGGGGGGGGGGGGGGGTTATCAAGGGATTTTTGCTTCAGTAGTGCCCCCCAACTAAAAATGTTGGTTGCCCCCCCCCCCCCCCCCCCTTCCCAACTGAAATTGCTTCCTATGGGCCTGAGTCCTTTGTGCTACTCAAATAACCACTGTTCTGAAGCATATTCGACTTCACCTTAAATGTCTATATTTTAATGGAAGAATAAAACTTTTCATAATGAATACAGAATATAATCACACAGTACAAATGTCAGGTGCTAGAAAATAAGAAATACATGTAGATTTCATATAAGTAATATAAACACTAGTATGTGACAAGATCTACCTAATACTCTTGACAACTTGCATGACAGTGGTGGTTTTTTGTAAGTGTGGTTGTATAATCAAGCATTGTATTTTTAATCATGTAAACCTCTAGTCCTTCATAAGGAAGAATTTAGCTATTCCCTTGTAGCCAAACTAATAAAATTACTTTGAAATGCATATTCATATCAGTAAACAAAAGTATACATTACAATATGACATCTTATTTATACTTTTTTAATGGTTGGGTTTCATATCATTAGGAATATTTCATAGTCCAATTTATTATTGAAATGCAACTGACATTTTGGCAATTATATTATATAAAGTTAAGTAGCTAGTATATGCTTGTAGCCAATTAATAAAGTCTGATGATCTTTCTTTTTTTCTTAAGCTTAATTGTCAAGGAATTTTGCTTGGGTACTCCCCCCCCCCCCCCCCCCCCCACTTCCATCTGAAAATGTTTGGTTGCCCCCCCAAATTGCTTCCTACGGACCCAAGTCCTTCATGCTGCTCAAATAACCACGGTTCTGAAGCATATCCAACTTCATCTTAAATGTCTACATTTTAATGGGAGAATAAAATAATTATTATATAATGGATACAGAAGATAATTAAACAAATGAACAAATGCAGTGCTGGAAAATAAGAAACACATGTAGATTATATAAATAATACATGTATAAACACAGGTATGTGACAAGATTTACCTAATACTCTTGACAGTTTGCATGACAGTGGTGGTTTTTGTAATTCTCATGAAAAGTGTGGTTGTATAATCAAGCATTGTATTTTTAATCATGTATTACTAAACCTCTAAGTTTTTCATACGGAAGAATATAGCCATTCCCTTGTGGCCAAACTAATAAAATTACATTGAAATGCATATTTATATCATAACATAAAACTATATGTTACAATATGACATCTTGTTTATACATTTTAATGGTTAAGATTTCATTTCATTAGGACTATTTTACAAACTTTGTTATGGTAATGCAACTGACATTTGGCAAGTAATCATTTAAAAGTAAATGTCTTAAGTTATTTCATATAATGATGTCTTAAATAATAACCTGATAAACATAATCATGATATGTCACACCTGTTTATTCATCAAATTAAAATCATAATCTTCCATCATATTCTTGTTTTAGAATTCATCCACACCCATTAAAAATTGATTCGTATGTGCTGTACGTGTCGCAATAAAAACAATATTGAAGCAACGTGAATTTAATATTTAGCTTTTCATTCAACTCATGATTTTTGTGGTTAAGTTAATGTTTAGACAATTAAATTATTTTCATGGTAAAAATCCTTTTCCCTATATTATTGGATGTTTGCAAAAAAGTGGTACATTTTTTTTTTTCATCAAAAGACACAAAGCAAGCAGAAAACTTTTACCCATTAAAATTACTGTACTCTAACAGTTTTCAACATTTTTGCTAAAAGCTATAAAATTCAATAGTAGTATAAATCAAAATGTATAGAATTATACAATTTTAAACAACACTTCCAAATAATGCAGAATAACACTTTAATGGTGCACATCATGTAATGAATTAGTGGATTTGGACTGATGTGAAAAGTGTCAAAAAATATTATTCTGTGAAGTTTAATATTGATTACAATATAACCAGTTTTTAATTTAATTGAAATAACTTTTAATCTTTTTCATTAGATGCATTTCAAAATGTGTGTTCTAATCTTATCAAATGGTGGTTTAATTCATTTTACTTAAAGGAGAACATGATCATTTTGAGTTTTAACAAAATTTAAACTCTTCTGTAATAAAGTCCTTGTTATATTAACGTCGTCACGATACTGCATTGTTAATTTGCGAGGAACATACATCTATTAATTTATCATTGTTAAAAACCCATCTTCTACAAATATTATTAATGATAAGACATATACTGCTTCTAATTAGCATCCTAACAAATACCTTCATTGTAACATTTTGAATGTTAGACAGTGTACACTAACGTTCGTGACTTTCAGCAATTAACCCAACGGTAGTCATATGACAAGTTTCAAAGAATTATTCATGCAACCTCTAAATAAGAGTTCGATAAGAAAAAAAAATCCACATTTGGATGTAAACGCACTTTTTGTTGTCAAATATGACAAAAAAGTAAAAAACTATGACCCTAATTAATAAAACAGATGGTATCGAAAAATTAGGTTTTAAGAGGCTTAAAATGACAGAAAGTATTTTATCTGCAAAATATTAAAGCAAAAATAATTTTCAATACCTGAGCAACGTCGATGAAATTGAAAATCGCAGCAGCAATCAAAAAATACCGCATTTTAAC